TGACAGTAAAATGAACCGTGGGCCTTATGGTAATAGCGTAAGACTTATGATACTGGAAGACATTGCCCACCATTCAACCACTGGATGAAGAAACAGAAGCCATGTGTACACAATGGAGAGCAAGAAGCTGAGGAGTAGAGCTAGGAGTTGAAAGGTGGAGTTACGATGAAAATTCACTCAACAAACTGAAAGCACAGGTTTGAAATCAATAGGACGTAATTTAATAGGAATACATTTAAAAGTAATTTTTTTTTAAAGTGCCTCAAGTACATGATGAGAGAGCCTGCTCTGATGGGCACCATTCCTGGGGAAAAGACCTAAGTGCTCTGGCTGCATACAGGGTGACTGCAACACTGAAATGGCGGAGGCAGAGACAACGGTGAGTGACAGTCCTGCCATTCTCTCTGTGAATCCAACCATAACTGGAACGTGTATCTCGCCTCAGGAAGAACAACAGAAACTGCAAAGTGTTTAGAAAAGGCAGACCAGAAAGTTAGACACACGAAGCAAAGCTGAGCGAATGGGCAGCAAGCCTGTGCCTCCCCACCCGAAGGACTACTGGATGAAAGGACTTCACAGTCACACAGCAACTAACAGACAGAAATTACTAGAAGGCAATGCTCAACACAAGTAAGTATCCAAAAATAAAGTTGTCTGCTTCATAAATAGTTCTCACGCCATCACTTAACAAACATTCAGGCAGCGGCCAAAAGACCATTAGGAAGTTTGCTAACAGGCCTGCAGGGCTGGGCAGAAGATTAACCTAGATGACCTCCAAGGTCTCTTCCACCCATGAAAGCTTGAATCTTGGGCATAAAGAGACCAAAGCTGTTTGACACTGAATCATTCAAACATAGCAAGTCGTTCTTGATGCAGAAAAGTCTAGTGTACCACATCCCAAACTGTTTGAATGTTGGCAGAGCAGTTAGGAACACAGGTTTCAGTCCGATCAGCCTTTGAACCTCAGCCTTGCTACTTACTTAGCTGTGGGACCACAAGCAAGTTTCCCAACCTCTTAGTACCTTACTTTTCTCCTCGGTGAAACGGAAATAATAAACACCTTCTCCTCACAGGGCTGTTGAAAGGGTAAGTTAATCACGTAGCAGAGTGACCGGCACATAGTAAGCACTTAACAAATGTTCTTTTATTATTGTTGCTGGTATTAATAACAAATAACTTGAACTTGACAACTAGTGTGGATGCAGGAGTCAACATACTTATTCCAATTTCCTCACTCTCCCAAGAAGCTAGGTCACTTCAGTGATGGCTGGGAAGATGGAGAACACCGGACGATGAGAACTAACATTAACTGGGCACCTGCTGTGTGCCAAGCGCCACTCTATGAACTGGAACATTTTGTTACAGTCCCCAGCAGCCCTATAAGAATTCCTCTCATTGGCTGGGCGTGGTGGCTCACGCCTGTACTCCCAGCACTTTGTGAGGCTGGGGCGGGTGGATCACGAGGTCAGGAGTTCAAGACCTGCCTGGTCAACGTGGTGAAACCCTGTCTCTACTAAAAATATAAAAATTGGCTGGCCGTGGTGGCAGGCGCCTGTAATCCCAGCTACTGAGGAAACTGAGGCAGGAGAATCATTTGAACCCAGGAGGCGGAGGTTGCAGTGAGCGAGATTATACCACTGCACTCCAGTCTGGGCGACACAGCGAGACTCCTTCTCAAACAAACAAACAAAAAAACAACTACCCGAGAAGATATAAAAAGAATAACTATTGGCTGGGTGCGATGGCTCACACCTGTAATCCCAGCACGTTGGGAGGCCAGGTGAGTGGATCACAAGGTCAGGAGTTCAAGATCAGCCTGGCCAAGATGGTGAAACCCCGTCTCTACTAAAACTACAAAAATTAGCTGGGCACAGTGGTAGGTGCCTATAATCCTAGCTACTCAGGAGGCTGAAATAGGAGAATTGCTTGAACCTGGGTGGCAGAGGTTGCAGTGAGCCGAGATCGCACCATCGCACTCCAGCCTGGGCGACAGAAAGAGAGGGGAAAAAAAAAAGGCTGGGCGCAGTGGCTTACACCTGTAATCCCAACACTTTGGGAGGCCAAGGTGGGTGGATCATGAGGTCAGGA